ACACACACACACACACACACACACACACACACACACACACACACACATCAGGATATACAAAAAGGTTTTCTTTGCAAAAAATATGACTAGAAAGCATACTGCATACATGACAAGAAAAGAATCACCTGATCTTTTATAGTTATCGGAATCACGTTTTAGAACAGCAGGTTAATCATTATTCATTTTATTACTGGTTCCAGAAAAAAAACATTTAAATAAAATATTCCATAAAGAATAATCTGATTTACAGTTTAGATGTAAAGATTCATCGTAATATCCAACATACCTTCCCTGTCATTGTGTACATCACAGTTAAACAATCTGTACCTACTCTGCCACCAGAGTAACACAGCATGATGGTCTTCATAAATACATCTGGTGTTTGGGTTTGCTTTTTTACATACAAGAAAATAATACTTTGACTGTTACTAAAAAGTATTCTGTCACCCTTAAAGCAAATGAAAAGCTATGAGATTTATATAAACTCAATAGGAATATTAGCTGTTTAACAACTAGAAATGGGTAGGTTACATGTTTCAAAAGAAAAAACAAAATCTAGATCAATCGTATCATTAGTCATTGTGCAGAACAAGGACATTGCAATCCAAACAGACTATTAGCACAGTGCTCTCTTTTTACAAGGTACATAATTTCTGAGAGGGAAGGAATAGGAAAAATCACAATGAGAACTATCTACCCCGTAACTTTATGGAAACATACTGTCACGCATATGAACTATTTCCTTTATAAAGCTCAAATTGAAACCAAAAGTTCATTTAATACTGTGGCAATTATACCCTTTAGTTTCCATTTACATCAAATACAAATCAGAAAAAACTGCCCCAAAACACTGATTTTCACATCACAAAACGGTTGTCAAAATCTACCATTTGTAACACAATTTCCTGGTGTTGCAGTTAACATTTTGGTTCTTCAGACAACAGTCACAAGTACTTTACTAAAAAATACAGATGTGTTTCCTACAGGTAAATGTGAAGCTTTATTTAAGATGGCAAAGGCTTTGTAACAGTGTAGGGGTGCAAGTTTTCAGTATGAGGACGTTCAGAAGATTTGCTGCTCAAAGAGTATTTTTTCAAACCCTGTTGGAGGAGTGTGATAAAATTCACTGAACTGACAATCCAAGATGGCACTGTCATCAACTGTAGGACAGAAGCAAAGAGAAAAATAATTAGAGGAGAACAGCATTTATTTTGACTATACATTACACCAAATTAGATTATATACATCAATACATTGTGTGTCCACAATGACTGAAACACAAAGGATATTCTCCAATATATCAGTTACATGCATGCAGTAGAGATAAATAAGATCTTCTTGGTTAATCTGTAGAAAAGATCCTAGAATACAATCAAGCAGGCCAAAACAAGTTTATTTCCTACAGAATACTTCAATTTGCAAAGGACTCTGCTGAAATCAGTGAAAATGTTGCTATTTATTTTACTGAGCATGCTAATAAGCCTTAAAGCAACTCTCCTCAACTTCTAGGGCCCTCATTTTCCCCTCCACTACTTTGGAAGCCCACAGGCCAAGCATGGTTATGATGAGACATGAAAGAGGATGCATCTCTATGGCATGCTTCCCATTCCCCTGCTTGGTGTCAAGCCATCTGCTTAGGTTATGACATCGGAACCCCGCTTGATTGTTATTTTTAGACACCTGGATTTTAAAAATAAATCAGTATTTTTCAAAACAATAATATTGCCGTGAGACTTTCTGCCTAATTCTAGGTGGAGGATTAGAGGATTAAAATGGAAATTCTGACAGATCATTAACTGCTGCAATACTTCATGTGCAACTTTAGTGAAGTATAATACATAGTGTAGCACTGCTCTTCAGAAAATCAGATCCATTTAGTTAATGAGTCTTTAAAAGAAACATTCCTCTAAGCCACACCTCATGTGACAGCAGTATATCAATGCCAATCCTCCGCCCCCCCCCAAAAAACCCAAAACAAAACAAAAACCAAAATACAATATTTTGATCAAGAATTTAGATATCCTGAAGTCAAGATATTCGGTTTTTCCCACAGCAGCCTTAACTGAGCTCACAAGTACTATCTTGTATTGTTATATGTGGTGTTGACTTTATACTTTAATATGTGTGCAGATGTGCCCAGGGTACAGCTGCTGAAGGAAGCAACTTTGAATTTGACTTGTGTTTTAAGTTCCCAAACATGATGTCATTTACCTTCTGTACTGAGTTTATTTTAAAAATCTCTACGATTCTGGTATGAAACATTAATAAATTAAATGGTTGAGAGTAATTTCTCCTTTCATATGCCTATGAATACATAGCATTAAATTAAGGGTTTTATTACTTGTAACTTATAACATGGAGGTGTCACCTGAATGTAATTTGCAAATCATCAGGTGTTACAGCAATAAACTAAACCATTGTGAAACATGGAAATTCTTGGGAATTTATGTCAGCTCTTGAAGGATGATGACAGGAGAGGGAGTCTGGCAATAAAAAGTCACCTCACAACCAAGCCTAAAACTTCAATGGTGTGGGATTAGGCATGGAGAAAGGAGGAGGAAGTTTAAAAAAAAAAAAAAAAAAAAGGTACAGAAGACCAGGGAGCCCAAGTTCCTGCTGCAGCAAGTAGACTGTTTATGAAAGCTACCTACTCCCGAGGTCTAAATTCTCTCCACTGTAACTCCATTTCCAAAGCAAAGGGAAGATGACGTGTTAGCTACCTAACAAAAGTCTGTTCTCCCATTCTCACCAATGTGGTATCTGGCAGCCAGAATCCCAATAATACAATGTTCATAGGAATAAAACTGTGGCAAGTATTTTATTCCTGTTTGCGCAACCATTTGTAATAATGGCACCATGTGGTAAACAACACAAAATGACAATATGAAATAATCTTCACTGTAACAGTTTTAAAGGGGATAAATTGGCACCTGAATTTGTAACATTCAGAACTTCCAAAGCAAATTTAGATTGTTTCATTCAGAAAGCGTAGTATTAAGAAAGAGTCTAGACAGACACAGAAACGTGCCAATAGTTCATTATGAAATAATAAGCAGCCATACCACTTGGTACTATCGTCCTGTCACATCTCACAAGCTAAGCAAGTTTGGGATAGGTCAGTACTTGGATGAGAGATTTACAAAAAAATAATAGTAGTAATATTGGGGATTCAATCAGTGGTACTCTTCTCTCTTAGTACTGAACCAATCCCTCAGCAGGGTTGGATGAGGCACTGTGCAAGCGGAGGTGCAACGTTTCAGATGAGACAATCAGAATTCCTACATACCTAGGATTTGCAAAGAGTACCTTGGAATTTTAGTAAGGTAGGGTTAACTCACATTGTGGCCAAATTCCAACTCACAAAATTAATACATTGTTTCTTAAGCTGCCTAAGCAGACTGGATATGATATTTGTTTCCTGTTCAAAACTGTTGTGCTAATGTATTTTGTCAATGCAGTTGCCATGATTCACTGTAGAGATGGCTGCATTTTGAGAGAGGAAGTGATTTCTATATAACATTTGGTATCAATTTGTTACAGTTGTGAAGTATTTTGAGATGGAAGATGCTACCACATTAAAGTTTATCTATAAAAAATGAAAAATAATAAAAATGTACATCCTATCCAAATCTGACTTAAAAATTGAAATGCTACTGCATTAGTATTGCATGAGCAAGAGGGGGCATGAATACAAACTTCACAGAGAAATTGGATTAACCCATTTATCTGCGGGTGAGTCAGCAAAACCTTGTGTGGCTTTATCAATACCTGATGATTTGACAGTATGTTTACATGACTTGTTTTAACTGCAGTAATTCCCTAGCTGTCATCTGTGGACCCATTACTGGTGGTCCACAGCTAGGTGGTGGTACTCCTTGTTTCCAGCTACTAAACTGCATTGAAAGAAGCAAAATATATACTGATACTTTCCTAATATTACTTTTCCATAACCAATTGCTGTAGTTGCCAAAGGATACTGTTCGATTATGACTGGGAAGACAGGTGGGCCACATCATTGGGAGTAGGATAGATGGTTTGAGAGAATATTGCTATTCAGATTGAACACATTGAATAAGTTTGAGAACCCAACTTACCATATACTACAGGATAGACAGTCCCTCTGATTCCTGAAGCTGGACAATGCATATTCTTTCCATTTAAATATACATTTAATTCTACATGGTCATAGGTAATACCCTATAAGGCAAAGCAGGAAATATTAACATAAGATCATCAAGTTGATACATGTGAGAATGTTTACTACTATTTCTTTTTACAGCTAGTCTAGCTGAACACAATGGGCAGTTTCTAATATGATGGCATAAACCACAGTCTCCTAAAAGAACTCACTAGACTATTTTTCCGGACACTTAAAAAGTCAATAATTAAGCATATTTAATTACATTTGAACTCACAAGCGCTTGCAGGCTTAGCCAATCAGGGGACAGCAGCAATAACAATCCACTTATTTGACGAACAGAAGCTAACCAACATAGTTCAAATTGTGAATTTACAGAGCTCAGGCAGTTAGCAAAGTAATGCATTTGTTACTTCTTATCCTTCAAGTGTTTTAGCTTCAGCTTTGCAGACTAAATAGATTGAGTGAGCCTTTAAAGAGATGGCAACACAGCAAGATTCTCTTCCAAGCAAACCATCTCACCAGGGGATTTTTTTTTTTTTAAACTTCAGACACCTGGCAACAATCTATGTACATGAAACTCACAAACATCAGCAATTAATAAAAGATACTGAAAAAGTTGGTATCAGAAACAATGTTAATCTGATCACTTCCGTGTATTTTAAAAAAAATTCTAATAATGTTAAAAAACTAGTAATACAGTAGACCCCTTTAAATATACAGGGTAATTTTAAATATATTTTAGGAGTGTTGAGGAGGGAGAGGGAGCATGATCCATACAGAGTCCCAAGTATCTCTCATTCATTCAATTGTCTTTCCAACAATTTTTTCTCTCCCTATCCCCAGTCTAATTTCCTCTCCCTTTTCTAAATCGTATCCCAGCTTGGCTAAAAATAAAACCCCTTTATCCCAATACCTTTGCTACAAATCTTCCTCCAAGGCTGCTAGGGCCACTCTCTCTGCATGCTAACCAACAAAGAGCTCTTATGCTCCCTGGGTACAACCTCATCTCGATCTCCAGTGCATTCTGGGACATCTTTGAACAGGGAAGCCCAGCCACAAAGAGCTTGGGATCTCTACGGTGACAGCCCCGTCAAGTTTATAAGCAAATTCAACAACCCTAGTAGCAGTGGGTAGCAATGAAGCACTATTGTGATGGGGTATATAAAATCCATTCTGTCACAGTCACTAAGGGCTAAAGGGACAGAATAGCTACTTCCCCAGGTGTGGCTAACTGACCTGCAACACTTGAAATAAGCAATCCAGGCACAGGACTACCTTGCATCAGCAGCAAACTGGCAGGAAGCCACTGAAGGAGAAGGACTAGAAACCTCTTTAGGACTGAGGTGAGACTGCAGGGGAAAACCTGCCAGCCTAAATGGGTATCCTTCCTCCTGCACACCATGAGGTAGCAGGAAGACTGGACTCTGTAAGGGCCTGCTGCCACGCCTAGGAAGAAGACAGCATAAGGATCTGAGGATAGTGGGAGCTGAACTGAAAGGCTAGGAGAGCAAACACTTAAAGGGACAGTGTACTTCTGATGAACAAGAGGGCAGGCAAGAGGGTATGAGCCCCTTCATGTCTAGCTCACTTCTCCAGAAAAGGTGTGTGGGGATGGAAAAAAATCTATGAAAGGGAGAGATAGTTGGGGAGAAGAGAAGTAAGGAATATTTGACCTTTCCTCTACCCATTACTCCCCAAAAAATACTGGAGCCAAATTTTGTTCCAACTATGCCCCTGCTAGTGAGGTGGATTAGAAAAGACAGTGAGAAAGGAACATGCCTAACTTAGGGTGCATTATTAGCACAAGACCTCATGATAAATACATAACTGTGTTTTACTAAGGGTATGTCTACACCCAGCCGCTAGTTCGGCGGCTGGCAATCGAAGTTCTGGGTTCGACTTATCGCGTCTTGTCTGGACACGATAAGTCGAACCAGGAAGTGCTCGCCATCGACTGCGGTACTCCAGCTAGACGAGAGGAGTACCGCGGAGTCGACGGGGGAGCCTGCCTGCCGCGTGTGGACCGAGGTAAGTTCGAACTAAGGTACTTCGAACTTCAGCTACGTTATTCACGTAGCTGAAGTTGCGTACCTTAGTTCGATTTGGGGGTTTAGTGTAGACCAAGCCTAAATGATTACAATTCTGAAGGGTTGCATTGTTCTATAATGTTTTTCAGTATGAAATACTAGAAATACTCACTTAATAAGCCTACATTTTTTTACAAGTCAATACCTACTGAATATTACCTTCTGATGCACTGTAAGCATATTAATTTAATAGGTTTAATCCTTTTATCAGATATTGACTTTTCAGGGCTTCAATAAAATTCTGTGTTTAATTTGCTTGTTTGCATGGAAAGCTAGCCTTTAACAAGGGTTCACTGTATTCCCTTTTGCCTTGCATCGGTGCTGACAGCAAAACCTGCTTTGGAAAATCCCAGAAACATCTATTGCTGAACTATTCAGACACAGTGACAAATTTACATTAACAAGAACTAAGGAAACTCACCACAATGTCACCCTCCTGTGGAAGGCTGTTTGCTGGCAGCCTGTTCTTCTCCTCGTTGTTGTGGTAGAGAGCTCCATCATTCCTCATCACTAAACTATGCACATCTCGACCAAGTGGAATTTGATTCAAATTTGCTTTCTGGGTTGCAACTCCAATACCCCAAACCCCTGAAAATATGATGATGATATTCTGAGAATACTGTTGTTTGTTTCTTTTGAAATCTCAGACTGAGAGTAAGGGATATATTCCAAGTGTGTGCCCCAATGACAGCAATATCACAAGTGAATTTTAATTTGAAAAGCATTAGCAATTACATACACTAGGCTGAGACAGACTTAAAAATATCCTTCCAAAACATGCTGTACCTTAGTGTTTTTCTTTTATTAGCCATCAATATAAAAATTGAGGGGTAAAAGTCTTAGCCCTCACTCTGACCCAGTTATTACACAAAATGACTAGAGCAGCAGTTCTCACCGGGGGAGGATTCCTGGGGCAAAGGAACTGCAGAAGATAACCAAAGGATGTCTCTGAGGATTCAGTTGCAAGCCTTGGCATAGGGGCCATGCCGGGGGCAGGGCCACAGAATATACACACCGGTAATTTCAGACAATGCAGCAGCTCATACGGCAGCCTGGGGCTGTCTAAATTACGCTGGGGGTGCTTCAGTCCTGGAAGCAGCCCAGAACTGGGAGGACACAAAGGTGGCTTAAAACCACATTAAGCCCCTCACCCCCAAGCTGCGAGTTCTCTGCTGCATTTCTAAACACAGAATCATTCCCACAATGGCCAGCAAGAAGCTAAAGGAGAAGAATCTGGATACGTACTAAAATAGCAAATAAATGTAGACAGAGAGTAAATATTATTGGACAAGAAGTACAAGAGCTATATACACAGTATTTTACATGCTCATAATGCGATATAAATATTAATTATTTTAGCAGAAAGTAGCTCTAAATTATTTTCATTGAAAAAACATATGCAAGAGTGTTCAAACATGGTAGTGTTTTAATACTGGCAACTCTAGTAATTTCATTTACCATTGTTTTTAATAAATCAAAGCAGCAAACAAGAAAAATGACATATCTTTCTTACAAGATGACAATTTAGCTTCTTACAAAAGTTTGATATTTGTAAAGTGTGTTATTGCTCATTGTAGTAATCCAAAGATGCAGTGCACTTAATTACCAAAGATGCAGATGCTTTGCCTGCTTGTAGTCAAATCTCAAATACCAATCTAAAGTAGAAAATAATTTTGCTAACTAACCTGTGGATTGGATTTTAAACTCAAAATAGCTCTTGTTCTGATGCAAAGGTGCATTGGCTAAGCAACCCCCCGTGCCACATATTCTTCTGCCATTTTTGACAATGACGACATCTGTTCCTGCATACACAAATAAAATACACAAACTTCAAAAAATGTTGTTTTTTTAAGTTTGGAGATATCCATTAAAACCCCAAGAACAACAAGAACTATTTTCTCTTTCAACCAAGTAAGAGCTTCATTCATCTATCAGAATTAGGTTGTGCAGTGCTTTCAAGTAAAGAAAGGATGTGTTTATAGGCTAGTTCATCTTTCAGCTAGAGTTTGAAATAAAATTATTCTACTTAACTGCCAGGGGGCAAATTTGTCACGTACACATGGGAGAAAAAAGAAGGGAGATATGCAGCGTTAGCTATAGATAGTCTTAACTCAGGAAGTTCCTTCCAGAGGAAATGTAACCAAACTCCAAACCTGGAGACAGTGGAACTTTCTGTGCCTGCCTCCTGTAGATAACTAACTGCTTGGTTTGCAAATAACGCGCGCGGGGTGGAGTGGAGGGAGGGCGGGCAAGTAGATGAACAATAAGGGGTCACAAGAGGGGTGGATACATGTAGCTTGCTAACTATGTATGGTAATGATAGCAAATTTTGGCCAATTATGGAGCGATAGATTATTATAGTCAACTGAATATAATGCTTTGGTGTAAGTGTTTTCGGGGTTCTTGCCGACTTATGAGCTCGAACCCAATTGCAATTGAAATAAACGGATCGCCCCTCCCGGGGCTCCTTGCTTGATTAGCTGTGTCTGTCTCTCCTTATTCCTCAGCTGGAACGGACAGAAATTTCTACGACAAGTTCATCTATTTAAAATCTATATTCTTTAATTTCTCCTGTCAGGCTTTAAGGCAACATGTTGATTACAACATTTCCTCAAATATCCCAGCAGCATAGCTTACAATCATTTAATTAGAAAGACACTCACTATGAGAAAGGAGATGCAGGGCTCAGACCTTTCTCTAAACCACCTCCTTTTCTTGGTCTGGAACTGAAGGATAGGCACAGAATGCTTTTCACGAGTTGTGGTCACCAAGAATTAATCAATAGTAAGATTCCTTTTAAGGGGTTTGATCGTGAGGTTCCTTTAAAAAGGTACCTGCCAGCACACACAACATAACATTGAACTGCTAAATTCTACACTCTCCCGTGGAAGATTTTAGCTCGAAAGCTCTAATAAGCATTTGTCAGCATAGGCAAAGACAAGACAGAGTCCTCAAAAGCCAGTCCAATAATTTCTGAGGATGCCTGGATGTTTTGTAGCCAAGAGGATTTTTTTAAATATTTGTTTGGCAAGGAGTAAGCCTTTCTAAATTGGTTTGTTGCAATGCCCTTTACGTAGGACTACACCGAAAGACCACTCCACCCTGCTCTTCACACAAAAGTTGTACTGCTTTAACTATACTAATATAGTTAACGCAGCAAACACACCCTTGCGTGGACACAGTTATAACAGTAAAAAATGGCTTATACTGGTATAGTTTATTCCCATATGGGAAGGGTAATTTAAGGTACCATTACCAATGTCAGTAAAAAATAAATAAATAAATAATCACTTCCCAACCAACATAATCATACTAGTAGACCAGCAGTTTATAGTCCAAGCTTTAGAACTAAACCTAGAGCAGAATACTGCTGCCTGGTTATTTAGCAACATTTTCATGCTGGGATCATATTACACAAGTACTTCAGAGACTACGGAATTCCAATTATTTTCCAAATGAAACACAAGGTGTTGTTTTTGACTTAGTCTTTTATTAGGCTCTGTGTGCCTTAGAGATCATTTCTTTTTGTGCCATAACCTCACAATTATATAACTAAGATCACTTTGGACTGTAAGCTCTTTGGGGAGGGACTGTCATTTGTCATATAGTTGTATAGTGCCTTGCATAATTAGGCCCAACCTGGCAGGTGCTACTGCAATATAAATGTAAAATAATAATAAATACTCAAGCTGAATGTCTCCAGATCGGGCACATCTGGGGACAGGGCATTCTCAGTGAAAGCAAATTAACTGTGGAATTTGGTGCCTTGTTGATCTGACAGACCCTGAGTGTGGTCACCTTTGTGGAATACTATAAAACCTAACTATTCAGTCAGGCTTCTTCTTTAATGGGGTCATCTGAGTGGGGATACCCCTCAGGGTTTGGGGGAAATTCTTCTAAATATCATTTTCTAGCCCCGTTAACGATCACCATGACGTATGTTTTTAAAATGTTATCATGTACATGGAACTAAAGACATCTGATAGGCACAATATAGTAACTGAAAAAATAAACAAGATAAATGGTAAGATTCAAAGCAGGGGCACCTTGTCTTTTATTTGCCAGGAAAACACCACAACCCTACAATTAATAATAATAATCATGGATCTAAAGTGCTACATAAACACTCACTATTCACCCCCACCTCACACCACGAAGAAACCCTGGCTAAAGCTGCTGTTGTGTCAAACTGCAGAGGGCGGCGACACTTGGTGCTCGCTGACCCTCCGGTGTGAGGCAGGGGGGCGAGGGCAGCCTGGCGATCATGGGGCGAGGGCTAAGTGCAACCCCGCCCCGGAGCTGGGGAGACTGGCCGAGCCCGAGCTCTCAGGGAAACAGCCCGGCAACTGCAGCAGCAGCAAACACGGGGGCGGGGGACCGGACCCAGCGCCCCCGGCCCGGCTCTGGAGGGACCGAACACGGAGTCCCAGCGGACCGGAGCCGGCGTCCCCCGGCCCGTGCTGCGGGGGTCCCTGCCCGGGGCGGGGCGCGCGCCCCCTTACCCATGTGCTGCGTGTCCAGCTGCACCGCGGGCATCTCCTTCAGCGGGATGTGCCCGGCGCCGCCGTCCCCGCACCAGCGCAGGCAGCAGAACACCGAGGCCGCCATCGCTCCCTGGCTGGGCTGGGCTGGGCCGGGCCGGGCCTGGCGGCTCGCGCGCAGCGAGGAGGCGGCCGGCCGGCCAGAGAGCGGAGCGCACGGGGCGCAGGGAGGGTGACTCCGCGCCCCCTGCAGGCTGGGAGGACTCGGCGCGCGCGAAGCTGGGCTGGCGGCTGAGGGAGCTGCGGGGCCCTGTCAGCCTGCAGCCCGGCCACACGCACCGAGGCGTGTATAATTTTTGGTGGAGCCCAGAACGGGTCCAAGTCCTACCCCCCCCCCACCTGGATAAGGCTCTGGGAGGGAGTTAGGGTGCGGGATCTGGACTGGGGCAG